CCTCCTGCACCTTCCAAAGTACAACATATTTTAGATATATGTTTGCTTCTTTAAATTAATTGTAATGCAATTCCAGATTCAGTGGTTAGTAAATGCTCATCTATTTTCTTAAGTATTTTATTTCATAGTAGTGTACAATAACAGGCACAATTTGTTGTATATTTTAGTGTCACAGTACACTCTCTATATTCCCCACTCCCTCCCTCCTCTACCCGCACGCCCATATAGGCAAATCCAAACAAAAAATGTTTAGTAACAATTAAGATAATTTACATGTAAATGCTCATCTGAAGTTATTATTCTAGATAATTAGTGTGCATAATGTAGCAGCCTCTGGATAGTAAAACAAAACCTTTCTTAGTAATGCTCCCATGTCTCACATTTCTGAATCACTCATTCACAGCATTTTATAAATCAATAAATCATTTCCTCATTAAGTTTTAGACAAATACCAAGAGCATTACCAAGAGAACTGGCAGTGTCTTCTGTTTATCTTACTTGGCTGCTTCGAGTTTTGCTGGACAGCTTTAACAGCGCCCACAATAGACAGACTTGGAAGATGGCGCTGTACATCCCGCATGAGAGTTTTCTTGGAAGCAAAGAAAGCGTGGTGGTAAAACAACTTCCCATCATGTTTATCCTCTTCAGTGAAGACAGGGAAAGGCAGACGGAGAAGTAGGAACAGCCTCGCCGTGACAGAAGGCATCTCGGCTTATGACTGCATGTCATCTTGATCATTGGCCTATTTCCTTCTATCTAATTGTTTTTCTTATTATAGCAAAGTGTCACAATCTGTGACTTGTATATTGATTTTCTGAGCATCATATACAGAACTTTTAAGCCAATTTACAAAACTAAACTTGTTCTCTAACTCCTTGTCTCTTTTCACATTTGCCACCTCTATTTTCCCTTTATCCTCCCCCTCTCTTCACTATTATCATATCTCCTCTTTCCTTGTCCTTTCTTTTCTATTCTAGGTGGGGGTATCAGAGCTTGGCGCCCCCTGGGGGAGTTTGGTGGTGTTGCTCCAACGGTTAGCTGCCATGTTAGCAACAAGCAGCAACCACAACAGCATGGAGTTAGCGCTATTAGCAGTCCGAAATCATGTGAACGATGCTATACTGCACGCTCAGCTGCACGGGCCGCGCATCACAGCCACAGTAAGCAAGGGGAGGCTGGGATGGGGAGGGGTAATATGTCCAACTGTGGTTAACTTACACTTGTTACATAAACACCTTTTGAACTCTGGATATTGATGGAAGTCCATTGGAAAAGGTTTGAATGCTAAAGAAATTGTGCCCCAAAAAATGCCCCTGTAAATTACAATTAAAATAATGAGAAACAGATTGCTAAACCATCCTTACTCATATATTCCAATAATATAGTCATTTGAATTTTGGACAGAGAGGGAGGAAGGTTTTTCTTTCAGCCTGGCAGTTGGGTCTCTTTACAAAAGCCTTATACCTCGATGGGCTAAAAACAGCCTAATTCTTCAGAGAATCTGGGGTTCCCCTCAGTCTGTGTGTGTGCGTTTGTGTATGTGAGTGTGAATACAGATCCAGTGCCAGACAAAGGCTCTGGTTGGCGGGACAACCAATACCCAGAATGCAGCTTGGTTCTGAGTGATGAGAAAGTTTCTGTGGCTAATCTCTGGACAAACAGACGACACACAAACACATGCATGTATGCAAACTCTGTTGGAGGAGGAAATAGAGTAGCCATCCAACTTTGAGAGAACATTGTGGACTTAGTAGAGTAGATTCCTGAGAGGTAAACAAACATACACAGGCATAATAACACTGCTAATTATGGCTAATACGAAAATACCACTTAATTGAATATTTGATCAAGCTTCTTATTCATTCGACACTTCATTAAAGGTAAACCCCTAAACCTTTAACGATGTTTGTGCAACATCTAAAGTTGAGAGAGGAATTCCTAGACAGCAGTAATTTCTGTAAAGAAGTAACACCGTTGATAACATTGCATTTTATCGGCCTCTGTAATACATTATGTGTTGTGCTCTACTTTGTTGGATTTTTAAGGTACATTTGTCAATTATATGCTACTGGATTAGGCATTACCAACAAGGGTTACTTTAACAATATCCAGAGGATTAGATGGGAAGATTGTGGGGTGCCGCTACTGTGAAATAAAATGTGTGAATTAGTCAAATATATATAAAATAATTATGATTTTTCGTCACAATGACTAAACTACAAAACTATTACCAGAGCCAGTTGTACACCCTAACACTTTATTCTGCATTTAAAAAAAAAAAAGTTTTATATATTGTTATTTTTCAGTTATAAAATAAATAGGGGGGGATTCAAGGATGACTTCCTAAGACAGCTGATTGTGACATACACAGGACATTACATACACAATACATTATACATTACACAGGAGATGCCATATTGACAGGGTCAGATAGGAGAGCTGCGGACAGTGAACCGCAATCCTCCTGTCTCCCCTCAAAATCCCCCAGCAGAGAAGCTGCACGCTCCATATTCAGTAGGTCCAGATACTCCCTCAGCCATGAGTCCCTAGTAAAGCAGGCTGGTTTGCGTTCCTTCCAGTTTAGTAGGATGAGTCTTTTTGTGGCTAAACAGCCCAATGTCCAGAGCCGATCGGCAGTCCTTGCAACATTGCCATCTGGCTTGAGACCCAGTAGGCATGCAATGGGACATGTAGGGAAATTAACTTTTAAAGATTCAGACATTAATGATATTACTTCTGACCAAAGTTTTTTTTACCGCTGGGCATTCCTAGAGTAGGTGCAACAATGTACCTCGCTTGCCACATTCATGCCAGCATAAGTCTCTGTGTTTATTGTCCATCTTGGATTTTGTAACAGGGGTGATGTATGCTCTATTGAGCATTTTGAACGGTATGATCCTGAATCTTACACATTTAGAAGAGAACATAGCTGACCTCCAAATGAAGTTCCATTGCAAAGCAGACAGAGAGATATTCAAGGCATGCTCCCAGGACAGTTGGACAGAAGAATAGGTATTCGGGGCAGTCCTAGATAAAAATTTATAAATGTTAGAGACCACACCTGATATGATTGCTTTCTTGAGGCGCTGGTCCTCTTCCATACATGAAGCAGGCATGGCTCCCTCCTTACATTTTGTACTAATAATAGATGCTATTTGTGCATATGATAGAAAAAATGAGTCTGAAAGACCATACTGATTTTTGAGTTGTTGAAATGAATGGGTTTGGTCTCTATATATCTGTCCAATTGTAGTAATACCAGCCCTCTGCCAGATATTATTACTTAAGGTGCCTCCTCCTGCAGAAAGACAGGGGTTACTCCAAATGGGGCAAGATGGTAAAGAGAGCCCCTCTATGTTGAGTCTCCTGTGCAGTTGCTTTACAATAGAGCATGAAAAGCGGATGATGGTATTATTCATTGAGGGTGGTGGTCTTGGGCAGTACCACATTGATGCCAGAGATATGTTTTGGTTTAAAGTAGGGCTGTCAAGTTAACGCGTTAATAACGCGTTAACGCAAAAAAAAATTAACGCCACTAATTATTTTTAACGCGATTAATGCATGTGTATTTTTTGTCCTCGGCCGCCCCGTAGTTTCAGAGCGCATCGAGTTTAAAATACCATCTACAAGCTGATGCTGACAGCCCCGCTCCTGCCGCCCGCTTGTGGCAGACCACACTTCCACGCTCACCGGCAGGCACCGACTGGCTATTGGGAGGACCGGGAGGGTGTGTGTATGTGTGGCCCGAGCGAGAGAGAGACCTTACGTGCATTGTTGTTGTTAGCATCTGGTGCTAGCTAGCTGCGCTAACAGATATAAGGAGCTGTTTAAATGAAAAAAGAGGAGCGACATTTCGCCGACAACTGCGACGAGCACTTGACTTTATGCAGGAAGCCAGACAGTGGGACATTGTACGAGAAGTCAGCACACTCAGCACGGATAGTGCAACATGATTGCAGCGTCCAGGCAGCTCCCGTTCGAGCATATGCCTTGAGTTGCACATAGCTCCAACGATCCATCTCTCACACACACACACACACACACACACACACAACACACACACAACACACAACACACACACACACACACACACACACACACACACACACACACACACACACACACACACACACACACACACACACACACACACACACACACACACACACACACACCATTTTTATTCAACCCGGTATCACGGCAAGACGTGAACATGTGACGATTTACCATGCTGGGAGACGTGAACATGTCACGGTTTCGTCCCCTTCAAACGTGACAGCTACACGGTATTGTTAACCCATGTTAACCAGTGGAGAAATAACCGGAAATACCAAGCAAATGCTACCCCGACGTAATGATTTATTTTTTAATAGTCACACTCGATTACAGCGATTTTCTTGTTGCCCCAGCTGGTCGACACCTCTTTTAGCATAAACAAAGGCTACATTAATGTATTAAATCGATGTTAATCCATGCGTGTGGATCAGGTGTGGATGTGGAATTAACGGATGTGACGTTGTGCGATTGAGTTGCCAAGCAACAGCTTCGGTTCATGTTAATTTACAAACTATTCAACTACAACCGTAGTTATATTTAAAAACATGTTAGAAGGCCTCACGAAATACTTTAATGCACATTAAAATGTAAATGTGAAGGAATGTGTGTATAACACAATACATCGGTCATTAAACGAAACCGGAAACAGACGTAGGCAAGATCCTCAGCTCGATGATTGGATGGTTATCCGCAATGCATGCTGGGATTTGGTGTTTATGTGATGTGAAATCTGAAAACGTTTTTTAAAAATACAATAATACTTTATTCCGAGTGTGCTTGCTTTTCTCTTTGAAAGTCATCACATAACGGCATTGTAATACACGGTTCGGCTGCATTAAATATGACATATCTGCCGTAATTCTCTATTTATAGAGCCCTGCTGAGAAGACTTCTAGACAAACAGGAGAACTGCCGCCAAAACTGAACGTGACGTGGATCATAAATATATAAGCAATTAAACAACATCTTACATTTATTTTCACACAATACGTCTCCTTGCAGTATCAACACTAATTCGGCTGACTTTTATATTTGATCCAATTGGTAGATAGGCTGTATTTACACCATAACCGTGCAGAGCTGATAGAAAGGGACACCTGGTGGTCAAAGCACGTTATTGAATTGTATTATTTTATTATTAGATATTAATAGGAGGATGTGCAAAACAGACAAACTAATAAGGCTTCATTTAAACATTAAAGAGTACTTTAGGTTAAGGTCTTATTTTGAATAAGAAAAAAGCTTTAAGAAGAATATGGAGGGATGAAACCCTCTTGAAACCGCAGGTCCTTCCTTCCTGCAGCGGTCAGACTTTACAACCAGCACTGCCCCTAGACCCTCCTACACACACCACAACACAGACTATAACACCCCTTGCTGCTAAATACAAACCAACTTTGTGCAATATGTGCTATATGTGCAATATATATATGCCATTAATAACTGTGTAATTTATACCTGGTCACTAAATCAATATATATGCCGTTTTGTTTTTGATCTGTATTTTTGAAAATGATGTAACTTTTTATCTTTTTTTTAGCATATTGTTTATTATATTATAACTTAGTACTTTTTTAGCATATTGTTTATTTTATTCTAACTTAGTACTTTTTTAACGCATGTAAGATATGCAACACTAAGCTGTCTGTGGCTCTTTCCTGCTGTAACGCTGCACATTTCCCCTCTGTGGAACTAATAAAGGTATTCTGATTCTTTAATGGTCACACATGCAGAGCACACAGCACACACAGTGACATTTGTATCTACAGATAAATATTAAGCCTGACAAAGTACTTAACGTCTAATATATTGCTTTCCTGCAATGTTAACTATGTTTAAGCACTTATTTGTTTATTATTAAACTGATATTATACATATGTATTATACTCTTATAAGATGTATGTAGATAGTATAAGAAATGTGCAGAATGACAGTTTAATGGTGGAGTATACACACATATTGATAGATGTCTTGTAATGCACTGTTGAGGAACCTGCGACCCACGTTTTTCATTCATTGCATAACTACACAGTAGTTGTGTATAATATGATATGTCAATAAACCTTAGCTTATAAAATCTTGAAAGGGATGTGCAAACTAGTCATTATATACAGTCTTTAATGAACTATTAGTAGAGAATAACGAGTAATGAATATACTTTATAGGGATCCTATTAATATCTAATAATAAAATAATAAAATTCAATAACGTGCTTTGACCACCAGGTGTCCCTTTCTATCAGCTCTGCACGGTTATGGTTTAAATACAGCCTATCTACCAATTGGATCAAATATAAAAGTCAGCCGAATTAGTGTTGATACTGCAAGGAGACGCATTGTGTGAAAAGAAATGTAAGATGTTGTATAATTGCTTATATATTTATGATCCACGTCACATCTTCAGTTTTGGCGGCAGTTCTCCTTTTTGTCCAGAAGTCTTCTCAGCAGGGCTCAATAAATAGAGAACTATGGCAGATATGTCATATTTAATGCAACCGAACCGTGTATTACAATGCCGTTATGTGATGACTTTCAAAGAGTAAAGCAAGCACACTCGGAATAAAGTATTATTGTATTTTAAAAAAACGTTTTCAGATTTCACATCACATAAACACAAAATCCCAGCATGCATTGCGGATAACCATCCAATCATCGAGCTGAGGATCTTGCTTACGTCTGTTTCCGGTTTCGTTTAATGACCGATGTATTTTGTTATACACACATTCCTTCACATTTACATTTTAATGTGCATTAAAGTATTTCGTGAGGCTTTCTAACATGTTTTTAAATATAACTACGGTTGTAGTTGAATAGTTTGTAAATTAACATGAACCGAAGCTGTTGCTTGGCAACTCAATCGAACAACGTCACGTCCGTTAATTCCACATCCACACGCATGGATTAACATCGATTTAATACATTAATGTAGCCTTTGTTTATGCTAAAAGAGGTGTCGACCAGCTGGGGCAACAAGAACATCGCTGTAATCGAGTGTGACTATTAAAAAATAAATCATTACGTCGGGGTAGCATTTGCTTGGTATTTCCGGTTATTTCTCCACTGGTTAACATGGGTTAACAATACCGTGTAGCTGTCACGTTTGAAGGGGACGAAACCGTGACATGTTCACGTCTCCCAGCATGGTAAATCGTCATATGTTCACGTCTTGCCGTGATACCGGGTTGTTTTTATTGTATTAGGTTCCAGGTTGAATTGAGGCGAATATTTGTAATGTTCAGAAGTTGTTGTGTTTAATATTCATGAGGATATTTGTCATTGTTCAAATGATAATAAACATTAGCATAAAGCATATTTGTCCACTCATATGTTGATAAGAGTATTACAAACTTGAAAAATATTCCTCTAAGGTACATTTAAAACAGATAAAAAATGTGCGATTAATTTGCGATTAATCGCGATTAAATATTTTAATCGACTGACAGCCCTAGTTTAAAGACATGATGGATTGCTCCAGCCATTACCAACTGCCTACCGGAGAAGCACTTTTGTACGCCCACGATAATGGATACTTTGCATTGAAGGACAGATAATACTGGAATACATCTGGGACTCCCAAACCTCCCATTGATCTTGGAATTATCAACTTATTATGTGCGATTCTGGGTTTTTAATTATTCCAAAGGAACTGAGTGAATAGGGATTTGATATCTTTAAACCATTTTAGTGGGAATTCAAGAGGGATAGAGGAGATAATATGAGAAAGCCTTGGGAGAACATTAATTTTCAAGGTTTCTGCTCTGCCCCATAGAGAAAGTGGTATGGCCATCCATCTGTTAATGTCCTCCTTAATGGACTGGAAAATAGCAGGGCCGTTAAGGCTAAAGATTTTAGAGATAGGAGAGACGATGTTAATTCCCAAATACATTCCATTTGTTTTCCAAATAAAGGGGGTGTTCATTAGGTTGTGCTTATATGTATATGAGTTAAGTGGGATTGCTTCACTCTTGTTCCAATGTATCTTATATCCAGAGAAGCTGCCAAATAAATGTATCATATCAAGAACTGCGGGTATAGAGAGTGCTGGCTTGCTCAAAGTAAGAAGTATATCGTCAGCGTACATATTTAATTTGAAATCGTGTCCATGAATGTTCACACCATATATGTCACTATTAGAGCGAATTGCACAGGCTAATAAACATTGATTGATTGATGGTTCTAGAGCCATAATAAAAAGTAGGGGACTATCTGGACACCCTTGCGTCACGCCACGGTGTAAGGGGAAAGGTTTTGAGATTAATCCATTAGTTTTAACAGAAGAGAAGGGAGCGCTATACAAAGCCTTTACCCAGCTAATCAACTTGGGCCCAAAGCCACATTTATTGAGCGTGTAAAATAGATATGCCCATTCTATTTGGTCAAAAAAAAGTGATGATTATAAGCAAATCATTGGCAAATTGCTGGAGCTTGCTTCTAGGATTATCTGAAAAACCCTCCTCATGTTATTTGAGGACTGGCGGCCTGGAATGAAACCTACTTGGTCTAGATGCACTATAGATGGAACCACCTTCTCCAAACGGAGTGCCAGTATCTTGGTTAGAGTCACAGTTTAAAAGGCTTAAAGGGCGGTGGTTACCCATCAAAGAAGGATCTTTGCCCGGTTTAGGCAACAATGAAATAATGGCCCTGCTCATGGAGGGAGGCATGGCATCAGATTCTAATATTTCATTGAATAACAACAGTAAATATGGTGAAAGCTGTTCTTTAAAACATTTATAGAACTCTGTTCCAAAACCGTCGTCCCCTGGAGTTTTTCCTGATGCCATCTTCATGATTGCGTTTTCTATTTCATTTTGGGAAACAGGTGCATCCATAGCAGATCTGTCAGCCAAGCTGACGCTAGGGAGGTTAAAACCTCCGAAAAAGCTATCTAAGGCTTCTTCGTTCAAGTTATTTTTTGTGCTATATAATTTAGAATAATAATTTTTGAAAGATTCATTGATTTTGGCTGCATCATACTGTAGCCTGTCATGCTCATCTCTGATAGCTGGAATAATCTGTCTGTTTTCTATTTGTTTCAATCTATGAGCTAACATTTTCCCTGCTTTGTCTCCGGATTCAAAGTATTTTCTTCGTAAACGAAAAAGAGCAAAAGCTGTCTCCTTATGTACAAGTTTCTGCAAATTAGTCCTAGCGGTGAGAAGTGAGTTCCTTAGATCTAAATTGAATGGGTCTAGCATATGCTGCTCTTCTAGAGTCTTGAGTTTAAAGTTTAATTGGGATTTCACCTCTCTGCGCTTTTTATTCTCTGCCGAGGAGAAACTAATTAACCAGCCCCTGCATGTTGCTTTGAAAGCTTCCCAGACAGTGGCAACGCTTGGTACAGAATTTAGATTGATCTCAAAGAAATCTAAAATGTGGTCTTTAATGAACAGTGTACATTTTATTTTATGTACTTTATTCTGCATTTGATAGTTAGGGAAAAAACTCTAACTTTATTAAACCTGCTGAAAGAAATATATGCAGCAATCAAACTGTATTTTATTCAGTGGTGTTAAGTAACTAAGTACATTTACTCAAGTACTGTACTTAAGTAGAATTTTGAGGTAGCCTACTTTACTTGAGTATTTCCATTTTTTGCTAGTTTGTACTTCGACTCCACTACAATTCAGAGGTAAATTGTGTACTTTTACTCCACTACATTTATGAAATTACTTTAGTTACTTTACAGATTTGGATTAATAATGTGAAAACTAAACAACACTTATTTTATATGATGCTGTGCACATCATTTTGAATTATTCTGAAAAGCAGCTAAAACACAATCTCTTCTTCAGGTAGAGAAGGTATGTGGACCCCAGGCAGCTGGTCCCATAATGCCAAAGGCAAATCCCACCAACTTGCAGCACACATCCTCTGTGAGCCCTGCTACATCAGTGACGTCAGAGAGGTCAGAAGTCACATCGCCACCCTTAGCAGGTCCTGCTTCTCATCGTCTGCCGCCACAATCCAGGAGGTGAGTCACGTACATCTGATGAAATGTCAGAGTAAGAATATCTGGAGCAAGTTAGAATTAATCTCCAGAAGGTGAATTCAACTTTGGAGAGGAAAAAGTGCCTGCTATTTTTTTTTCATATGACCTTCAATCGTAGCAGAAGAAAATCAACATTGTTGTGTTCTTGTTTGTGTTTGTGTATTCCAACAGGCCATTTCCTCTTAAAGGCTCCAGAGGAGACAAGAGTCGCAGCCTGAAAAAACTGTCTAGGTAAATACATCCACATTAGCTGCAATTACATTTGAATTATTATCGAAAGACTCTTTTTCTTAACTTGGGTATGTTTTTTGCAATAGTCATTATCTCCATTCTGTCTATTTATATGACTTATTATGTTAAAATTACCCTCTAGAATTAAGATATGAAATGAACAATTATTCACAGCGTTGTTAGAATGATTTAGTGCAAATTACTGCAGTGGCATTTGAATTATACAATATCTTAATCATTTTGTTTCTCCTAAAGGATAGATCCATATCCTAGAGGTAGGACTTTAACAAAATAAAACCTGGGATCAGAAAACCCATTAAATGAAAACCTTCATATCAGATCTTCATTATACAGTCTTTATCAAAAGTGCTGTGAGCATGTTTTCCTTCCCCTTGTTGCTCTCAGTAACTTGGTAACTAATCATTCAGGAGGGCTTTCAGAGGGTACTGGACATGACAAGTCTGAATTTAAACACATCATGGCAAATGGTACATTGAAATAACTAACCACCAACAAACCATGCAATCAACTGTGCTTTACTGTCTATGTCTCTCTTTAAGGGAGTTTGAGGGCTCCATCCAGCGGTACCAGTGGTTTTTCTCCGAGCTGCCAGAGATGCTTTGTGAAAGTGAGATGGAGGTTGAGCAGCACACATGCTGGAGTGGCCAAGATGTCGTAGAAAGGTGTGTTGCATTACATTCCTTTATTAAAAATAATTTTAGAAAATTGCCAGTAAGGACGTACCAAACAACAGGCATGTAAAGTAGTTGTTCCAACATCACATGTGATCCTTTATAACTACTCGAGAAAGCCCCATATATTGCATTTCATCTTCATATAGCTCCGTATTTGAGAGAATTCCATTTCATTCGAGTAAAAAAGCTCAAGCAGAACAGGAAAAACAAAAGAAATATGTGCAGAAAGGTTTTGATGGTTTTTGATGTAAAAGAAAATGGATATTGACTTAAAGGCAAAATGGAAAATCCACTAGTTCATGTCTTTTCTACATAAACATGTTTCCCCTCTGTGTAAAGAGATTCTGAAAGTTTCAGGAAAAAAGATTAGCTCACTTTTTGTCCTGATCCATCTTTATAAAATCTGAAAATGAGCTGTTCAGATTTTGGCCACTTTGTGATGTCATAACGATGTTTTTGGCTTGTCCATTAGCCCAGCGGTTCCCAACCTGTGGGCCGCAGCCCCCTAATGGTCCGCAAAGCCATTGCAAGTGGGCCCCAAATAATTTCTTCTTTTTAAAAAAAAAAGACACAAACATGGACATAACAATAACATAATAGGAGATGACATTCCTATCTCAGACAACAACAAAAGAAAAACAGAAGAAATAAAGATACAGTCAGTAGGATCACTTCAACATTTCACAAACAAAAATAGGTTGACAACCAAAAACCACCAAAAACACAACATGGCAAGCATATTTATTATTCCTTTAATCCCACTCTTCAAAAGAGCTAATTATTTCCCATTTCATGGCGTGTTGAGCCACCCCTTGATTTTCCAAAATAAATTGTATTTTTAATCTACTCTTCAAACACCTTACATTAAGATTACTCCTTCATTTCATTTCAAACCTTTATTTATCCAGGTGTATCCCATTGAGATCATTGATCTCTTTTTCAAGGGAGACCTGCTCAAGTAGGTTCCACATGAAACATAAAAACATAAACAGAACAACAAAAAAGGACATCATACAGCATCATTACAGGGATTTACAATTTACATAACTATCCTTGATTGACATTTAAAAATATGTATTTTAGCCAGAAGAATAGTTGTATTTATTAACTGTGTGCGGTCTTCATTAAAAGACCAAATCAAATATTAAATGTTGTAAATGTAAATTCAATATTTGCCGCCAAATAATTTGCAAAACATTATGATTTGTGTGGAAACATTTTCATTATTACGATTTATTTTTATTTTAACCTCTCTTCCTTTCTCTTTCTTGATCCTCCTTAGCAACGGTCATTACAGTCCTTGACAGCGGTCTGTTCTACTGGATTTACAACGTGTCACATGTTCTGAATTGACCAATCAGAACTTTATTTAGCCTCCGTATTGTTTATGGTTGAATGTGGGCCGCAACATTTTTTTGTATTCTTAAGTGGGCCCTGAGTTGAAAAAGGTTGGGAACCGCTGCATTAGCCAATAACCAACCACGGTAACCCCCCCCCCCACACCTTATCACCTGAATTTCCTCCTAGAGCACCATTGTGTTCTTTTTAACCAAATATCTCTCAGTGGGGCGTGGGGAGTGGCTCCTTATTTTCATCTAAAGTAAAAGACAGAGGATCAGCACTTTTGAAACAGGGCTGAAACAGAGGAGTTAATGGAATGCTAATGCATGATCTGTTTGGTGTTTCGAGCCAAACACTTCAGAGACATGTTTGTATATCTGAGACCTATAATATATTGATGAAAAACAGTATAATAGGGGACCTTTACGTTTAAGGCCTGGGACACACTTATGCTGACATTTAAGGCATGTGCAGGATTCAGGAGTCCATGATAATCCAAGATGGTTAATTTGTTAATTTGCCCTCTGTACTGCCACCTGCACAGAAGCTTCAGCATAGTGCAGGAATATTGATGTACAATAGATTACATGTTGTGACTATAACACGAAATGCCGTGAGACTGGGTTGGATATACAATAGGGGGTATATTTGTCCCAGTGTGCTATAGTCACAGTTTCAGTGTAATCACCCAGCAGGACTGTGAGACAGATGTTAACAGCCACCTTAGATTGTATTTCTACTCAACTGCTCCACTGGTGTAAATCATGTTAAGTCTGAAATCAAAGTGAAATCTCCAAATTGCTTTTGAGAAGCTCATGTAACACTGGTGGAATTTGATCTTTCTACATTTAGCTGGTATTGAACAACAGTAATGAGTTATTCACTTTCCTAGTCATCCATGACTGTGCCTAAATTTTAGTCTGAATGATTTTTGATTTTACAAAAGTGAGGCATATGGGTGTGTGTGTGTGTGTGTGTGTGTGTGTGTTTGTGTGTGTGTGTTTGTGCGTGTTTATAGTTGCCAGGCTGGGAGTGGGGGGGTGACAGGGTTGTGAAGGTTAGAGAGTTTGTTTCCAGAGTCTTTCTCATGGTGATTACATTGGCAGCTTAAACTGGTAACAAGACAAATAGGCACACATAAACGCACACACCAACACACACACACACACACACACACACACACACACACACACACACACACACACACACACACACACACACACACACACACACACACACAGACACACACACACCGTGCTCTGTCTCCATCAGTGCTTCAGTCATGGCTAGTAAACCTCAGATGGCTCTGCTATGTTTTTAGCTTCTGATAATATTTCAAGAGACATGGAGCAGGACCCCATTAAGATATATTGTCTAATTCAAACGTAATTTAAGGATGAAATTGTACATCGTGTATAAAAAACTAAACTCATTACGGTAATACATGTTGTAATATATCATCTGATAGTGTGGCTCATCCTAAAATAACAGTATAATATGTTTCAATTGGCATCGGGAGGTATCACTGATTGTGATTACAACAATAAACCCACATAGAAAAGTGTGCAGTTTAGCTAATAGTCTTACAGCAGCCTTTTTATGAGAATGTCTTTGACTTGTCATAGCAGGAAAGCACACGTCTTACTAAAAACACTACCAAGGGTTGTGCTGTACTCCAGTTAAAGTGACATTCAATCAGCATTCACAAGCTTTGAATCATATGAAGCCAGGACCCAGGTTCTTACAGCGATACCATCGAGAATGGATGTGTAATTGTGGACTACATTGTGAATTACCTTTTATTGTCAAATGAAAACATTTATTATACAAGGGATGTTTTGGCATTAAAAGAGATGCTGTAGTATAGCTTACACAACAAGTGGCTTGATGTGCCAGATCAGGCAGAAGTCAATTTATCATCCTCATGGTTTCTGAAAGGCCCTGAAGTCTGAGTGCTAGATAAAGCTTCAGTGGTATGAAGTTGATTCTTAGCTTTCCACAATTTACTTTGAAACTTTCTGCAGGTCAGTAAGGTGAGGGTTCTGAACAAGACTGAGAGTGACATATTTGGAAATCCTCAGACCGCCTCTATCTGGGAAATGTGTTTTAGAGTTTTATCTCTTGGAAGGGAAGAGATAGTTACACTTGGTCGTGTTGGAGTTTGTCCAGTCTTTGCCTCTCTGACCTCTTTACATCTTCTTCTCTCTGACATCTATCCATCCATCTGTCCGTTCATTAATTCAGCCGCCCATTCATCTCTCCCTCCTTCTATTCAGAGCTCCATTCATCTCCTCCACCCTCTGACCCACTTCACTTACAAATGTCGAAGTTGGTGTGAGTGTGTGTGAGCAGGGCCGGCTCTAGACAATTTGCTGCCCTAGGCGAGATTTTAGCTGGCGCTCTCCAACACACATTCATGTGTGTTGGAGGAGGTGCTCTGTAAGGAAGTCTGAAGGAAGGGGCGGATTCTTTTCGGCTGTGTACTTTCAAATTTTAGTGCACTCGAGCCGGTTTCTGAAACTTACCTACCCCACCTTTAACATTGATTTATTTATGCATATTTTTTATCTCTCCAGTTTTAAACGATATTTTTGGTTTACTGTCCTATAGTAGCCTATACATTGAAATGATTTAAAACCTGTTTATACCAATAATTATAAAGGAGTGCCTTGGAAATATGTGTTTACATAAATTGTGACCAAACCGTTTGAGACCCACTGAGATAACTTAGACTAAAGTGAACTATCTAAACACTCAGAGTCCTTTACCTCACTGAGCTGTAGTTATCAGCCTCTCAGTCTGACTGGAGAGGACTCTCCCTCCACATTATTGTAGAAACATATTCTCCTTATATCCGTTAGCGCAGCTAGCACCAGATTATAATAACAACAGCGCCGGTACCGGTGCGCCCTCCCTCTCTCCCTCGCTCGCTCCCACGCTCACTCGCACTTTGGCTGTGAGTTGCAGGCGCCTGATAAGCCAGGCAACATCCCCCATTTTCATCACTTACAGCGCCCCTCGTACAGGGCAAATGAAACGTGTAACCGGGGTGAAAAGGGTGTTACATTTACTTAATTATGAATATTGTTACATCAAGGCCGAAAATTAGGTTGAGCACCAACTGTCAAACATTTTTTTTTTCCTCCGAGAGCTGCCAGCGCAGCGCCTCCCCAGATCTGGCGCCCTTGGCGAACATCTATAACGCCAGTGCTACGGGCCGGCCCTGTGTGTGAGAACAAAGAGATACTGTAGGCGGCAAAACACACAGAATGATGAGAAAGTCTGAGAGTGCATGATAACGGGGAGGAGAGCAGATTATCAGCGCTTTTCATGATTATACTGATACGAGCTAGCATGATGGTGAAGATGGGTCAGCAGAGCAGTAGGCCTCGTTTCCTAAAGAGCACCAAAGTCAAGCTAACCACAATAGAAACTGTAGTTGGAACAGTTATTTATACGGGATCAGCAGAATGCCAAAACAAACACGCAATCCATTTTAAGGTGAGAGAACATACAATGCCTTTTACATTTAAGAAATGTTATGTAAAAATCTCAGAATACAACTACCAGTGATTGACCTAATGACCTGAAAAAAGTAGAGAACTACGAGTAAACACTGATATAAGCTACGCCGAACATAAACTGAG